TGGAGGATTTGTAAATTAGTTGGGAATTGCTGAAATTCAAAGGTCTTATTGACCAACATGTACATTTATCCATGATTATTATTACATGCTCTGTAACTAAGCAAAATATCAAGCTGCATAACTGAAAAAGAAATATATAAAATAATGATGAAATTTATATGTACTAATTTAAATAATTAATGAATATAATGATATACAAAGAGGCATATATTGAATCATTTCATGTACAACGTAGGGTCCTAACCACTAGATGATCACGGCTATTGGAGGATTTGTAAATTAGTTGGGAATTGCTGAAATTCAAAGGTCGTATTGACCAACATGTACATTTATCCATGATTATTATTACATGCTCTGTAACTAAGCAAAATATCAAGCTGCATAACTGAAAAAGAAATATATAAAATAATGATGAAATTTATATGTACTAATTTAAATAATAAATGAATATAATGATGTTGAATCATTTCATGAGATAATAATACAATTTTTCTGATTTAAGCTTGAAACAATTGGCGCTGGTATCTGACACTAATTCCATTTTAGAAAGTGGAATAGGAAATTGAATGAATTATAAAAAATATCACTATCTATCTAATATTAATAACAAAGATTCTAATATTAATATCAAAGTATATCTCTTTATTTCTATGTTGTTACCTATAAGATATAAAGAAGATGAGTACTTATAAATCAGAGAATAAGCGATTCTGTTAAAAAGAGAATTTTATGATTATGGCGGAAATCGATAGGAAAACATACAGATTTCTAGCTAAATTATGAAAAGGGACAAAATGACGATTAACGAAAAATTTGTAGATATACCTGAATTCGGCGTGAACAAGCTGTAGCTTCTCAAGAAATGCAACGCAGAAACAGCGCCTGACACTGCGCTTCCGCTGCAAATCGTTTTTGCATGCGCGTGAGAGCTCATTCCTCTGAAACAGTTACTCCAGAATTTGTAAACACCGATGAAATCACGTGCGGCAACAAATCATTTTTCGAATTCACCAACTTTAGAAATATTTTTTTCTTGCTTCGAAGGACCTTAATCTTCGATTAATTTTAAAACTCGTAATTTATCATGTTCGTTTAAACTTCCCTCTTCATCGTCCACAAAAGTTAAGTTCACTTTTTCATCCATAGGTCAAGGTTCTTCGATCTCGATATCTCCCATTCATTGGAAAATGAAACTCACAGTCAGTCCCCTCTGGCTTCGTAAATTAATCGTTGATGTATTCACTAAAAAAAAAGTTCAACAACAATTTAAAAATTTTAATAGTAATTCCGACATATAATTTTTATGTAATTCAACTTCTTATATTTACTAGAAGTAAATTTAATAAAACAATTAAAAGATATCGAAAGTCGTCGTTATCCAGATGTTTCAAGGACAACATTAAGTTTCTAGAAGTGGAGTTGACCTCTTCCGCGGTGGAACTTCTTCCTCGTCGCAACCTCGACTTCTCGTCGAGTCTGTTGATATTTCTTGTCACGTGCTTCGTTACCGCATACCACCCTACTGAGAGAGAATCTGCAATTCGTCGCCGTCGGGGGTAGTTCCGCCCCTATATACATGCGCAACACGGAAAAGAACGATTGTTCCGCCCCTGGATCGTGAGGGGTGAGCACTCGGCCGGTATGTTGAGTGGTCAAGCAACACGAAAGCCTGGCTCTGGCCGGCCAATCCCTGGTTGATGAGCCCGCGAGCAATAATCGCCTAGCCTTACGCACCGTATCACGGCCCTAATCTCTAGATCGGTTGTTACAATAGGTCGCTGGGCTTCTCTTATCTTGCATGATTGAATGACGGAGATTAGAATCGGCATCGCGTTGAAAGTTGTTACTGACGTTACGTTACTGTTTTTACGAAACACGTTTTTAAGCTCTTCTCCTTTTACGTACTTCAAACTAATGTTGGCACGATGATTTTCCCTATAAAAAGAGATATCTATAATTATTTCACGTCGGTGTATATACAAATATATTAAAGAATTATTGCCTTCTTAAAGAAGATATTTTTAATGTTACAAGAGTAATTTAATTATAAAATGCAAGAAAGCACCTGATTTATGGCATCCTCAAGTATTTAAATTTTTTTGTTCATCTCTTCATGTTCATAGAATCCATTACGCTACGACTCATCCTATATGTATATAAAATAGAATAGAAGATCACAGGCATGTACATATTTTCTTTAAAATTCTGTCGAATGTTGATTTGTTGTTTACAAATCCCTTCACAAATAATGGTATAACATCTCATAGCTGTGTCACTTCATCACCACTAATCTTTATTGAGTATCTTTTTCAAAAGTCATTGCAAAGTAAGGTAAATTTAATTTCTTCTTCCAATCCTCACCACTGAAAATTTTAAATCTCCCTCACCTTTCCGGCAAATTATTCCGCAGCATTTATTTTGCTGTATCGTGCAGATAAGAATTGTTGCGAGCCACGTGTTTTTAATGTCTCTGGGACAATTGACAGCTGACACTTTCACGTTACCTACGAATGTTTAATGCGTTGGTAATTATTATCAAGTAAATTACACGACCAGGTAGGCAACATCCTATGGACGGCTGCAACATTAATGAGGCCGACTAGGGGTTCAAAATTGTTTCTATTCGACCTCATGAATGTTGCAATCCCCGCCGTTCGTACAACCTGGATGGCAATTAATGGTCAAAAGATCGATTGCTCTTCACAAGAGTTAGCTGTACTGCAACAGGACAAGTAGGTCCTTTGACCTTCGCGTGTCTGTCACTGAGTACTGCGAAGCATAATCGGCATAGAATAACCAGGAAATATGTATAACATCAATAATTTAATCAGCAAACAGTATGAACACGCTGGATACACTTTCCAATTTACAATGTTAGTGAGAACCTCTCAATCGAGAAATATGAATCGAAAATTATGTATAGCCACTTTTAGTTTTGCTTCAAGAAGTAATTACTTTCTTAAAAAGAAATATCCGTGAAACATGAACACGAAGAAAGTATTTTCAAATATTTTGAAAAATTACTCGGTCATCTCCGGTAATTTTTCTTGAAAGAAACTCACAAAGAACGCTCGATTTCTTCTCATAAGTAAATAACTTGAAATTTCTAATTTTAACATGCTCGTCGTATCTGCGTGTAAGTTTGCAATATTCGAGCCTCGTTCTTTTCTTTGAATACTAATAGCGAACGTAATTGCACGGAAGAAGGCTAGAGGTGCGACGGTGATTTACAGGGTAGCGTGTCGTTTTCGTACGCAAAAAAAAAGAAAAAACGGGGATGAACAGCATGGATTATATTGCCTGTCCAAATTCAGGGGGCGCACCGCGGGTTAAATAACGCCATTTGTTATCGTAATATCTAATTTAGCGTTGAAGGGTGATGCGCCCACGACCATGTGGTCGTGATCTCACGAGGCAACGGTATACAGGTGTCTTAGGAATAACAGTTTAGCTTCAATACCTAACTAAGTTCGCCAGGTGTACCTGTAAGAAACGAAATGATTCATTTCCAGGCCTACTTTTAAACATACTATTATTTCTAATATTTAATTTATATATTTACGCGTGGTTTTCTTTATCGTTTGTAACCCTCTATCAAAAGATTAAACACACATGGAGAGCTAAAAAATCTCATTCTTTTTTATTTTTTTAAAACAAGTAAATGTTTCCGCCAATTGAAGTCAATTAAATTTAAGAAGAAACGAAACTACCTGAATGTGTGGTAAGTTAGATCCCTGTTGTACAATCATCGGTATAAACGAGCATTCGAAAAGTATATTGCTTTCGTTACATTTTTCAATAAATTCTAACAATTCTGTACTTCGTTCGACTTTCTTGGATATGATTTTTAAATTCATAATAATACAATATTGTTGATAATTTATCTGAAAGTTAATAGATATTTTTAGAAACAGGGGAATTTATAGTAGCAATCGCATCAACACATAAAGTTATACCTCGTTAATCGATTCTATTAAGCCTGAAACGTTTTCCTAAAAGAAACAAAAATAATCAATGAGACCTGTCCTGACATTACGAATCGCTTTCTCGTCGCTCTGTCGGCCGCTCGTTATCATTATGCGGTTGAATTCGCGATAGCAAACGCCCCCCCCCTCTCCCCCCACAGCTTTCGCCCGCTTGGTCTCTGCTCGTGCGAACCCAAACACCTGTCCGCGACCAACGAGTAACGTGACATCACGTCATGTGACCTCCTGAGCCCCGAACGCACCCCCTTGGAGATCCCCCATGACACTGCGCGACCTCTGGCTAATCTGTGTAATCGCAGTGCTGGAAACAACGGATTACACACTCGGATCGTATCTTGCCGCCATCGCATTTTTCTCATTGTACTCTTCTTTTTTTTTCTTTTCTTCTTTAGAGTTCCCGCCCCCCCCCCCCAAGTTCTTTCAAGCATATTCGCTTTATACGTGAAAGCATTTTTATTAAAAATTC